AGTAAGCTCAAATTGTATTCTCCGTCTGTCTTTCTGAGGAGGGGAGCTTGCGAGGTTGATAATAACAGATCCTGCTGCCCTTTGGATATGTGGTAGGGTCCTATGAGTGTACTAAAACCCTGAAGTGGTTTGACTCCATGGCCACATTTGCGCCCGCCACACCCACTCAAAAATGCCCAAAAAACGCTTTCACTCCAGGTTTCACTCATTCAAATCCACGCCAAAAATCCAATTTTGCTCGGATTTTGAAATTTCTTTCACCATTACACTCCCAGATAGTTGCTTTCTTCAATTCGATAGCATTGTTGTAGTAATCCACAACGCAAATTATGCCTGCGAAATAATCATCATCAAAATTGAGTTTGACATTGGATTGAAGAAAGCAACTATCTGGGAGTGTAATGGTGAAAGAAATTTCAAAATCCGAGTAAAATTGGATTTTTGGCGTGGATTTGAATGAGTGAAACCTGGAGTGAAAGCGTTTTTTGGGCATTTTTGAGTGGGTGTGGCGGGCGCAAATGTGGCTATGGAGTCAAACCACTTCAGGGTTTTAGTACACTCATAGGACCCTACCACATATCCAAAGGGCATCAGGATCTGTTATTATCAACCTCGCAAGCTCCCCTCCTGAGTGAAGAGTGATTTACTTTCACCTTATTTCTCCAAGAGAGACGGACTGACAGAGAGATGAAAAACCATTTATTTTCTCAGATAGACAAGGCCGACTTAATTTTATGCGGCACATGGATGGATATTCCACACGGCTAAATAAACATGCACTTCCTTCATCCAGCCCAACGAAATTCCTATCTATCCATCCACCCGAAATTTGCAGATATGTACACACCAAGCATCCACAACTGCAAGTCTACATATGTGCAAGCACATAACACTTTGTTATCACACCCGACAGAAAATCGATTAATTCTTCTCGCAAATCCGACGATCCAACGATAAATAAATGTTGCTTTAATTCCTTGTCGGCGAGGCTTTAATTCGGTGTGGGTGGGAGAAAGTACTGCTACTGCATGCATTCTCATCCCAATTTGGTATTTATTACCGAACCAAGTCTCCATCCTAAAACACTACCAAAATTATTACCATTCTGACTTGGTAGAGAATTTTGTTACCAAAATATTTAATTGTCACTCGTAAACTCAAATCAAATTGATTCCTGTGTTGTATGTAGCAAATCTTATTTATTGTAACCGCTCTGTTGGTGGCCCGACCAATGTGCAAAGACAAATGTGCAAACGATAAATGTGCAAAGACGTTTGTGCAAATGATAAATGTGCAACCTGACAAATGTGCAGCCCGATAAATGTGCAAACGATAAATGTGCAACCGATAAATATGCAGGAATTTTTCCAACAAATGGTGCAATATATCTTGATATAATTTAAACATGAAATCAAATTACATCTCCTCAAAAACTTAAATTTGAAACATTAATTTTGTGGTGGCATCCCGTATGATGTCTGTTGAAGCTGTATTAATTTATTGTTAACTTCATATTTTACTAAATTATATTTTTATGGTGCATAAATTTCCTGGTACACACATCTTCGTGAATTCGTGAATTTTAGCCTATCGTATAGGCTGGAATTATGTACATATAAAAATTCTAAATTTCAATGAAATAATTCGGGATTTACTTATTTGCTGTCATTTTAAATTCTGTCCCCGAGGGGTGTCCCTAACTAAAGTTTAATTGTCACTAGCTAAATTTAGCATTACATAAATGTAAGGTTAGCATTACAGTGATTCGGCACGGGAATTTTATTATAAAATTGACAGGGGTCAACCCCGTTATAATGATGATTAGTGTGGGCGGAGAAGAATGATGTCGCCGTGGGCTCGGTAGGGGAATATGGGCGAGTCACATCGAGTACCGGACGTCAGGGTCCTTGGGGGACGGATGCGACACACTTCTGATCACGGGACACCTTCACTCGCCACAGGGGGGGTAGCCTAGATGAGAGCGACGACGGGCACGGGGAGGATGAATCTGATGCCTCTCGCTTAGCACTGTCACACCGACAAAATTATGTCTCTTTTTTTCCACTACGGAAACTTTTTATGCACGATAGTTCACTAAACTGCCAGATAGTTTTTCCGACTCACAAGGAATTATTATTATGGTTATGTGCTACAAAGAAGACCGACTGTTCAATACGCACCAAGATATAGCTTGACAATAGTTTTTCGGATTTATTTAAGACCAAATTTCAAATGATAACTTGTGTAATAATGTATGAAATGTGAACTTGTACGAGGAATATAATTTTCAAAATGGCAGCCACGCAGACGGCGTGGTGCAAGAAAATAGGGAGAGAAGTGTTGTGGAGGTGTTCACGCTGGGAACACTCGGGCCGGTCTGTCTGGACTGGAGAGAGGTTCTTCCTTTTTACAGTCGAACTCGGCCACGGTGGCTTCCGTGTGCCGAGTGGTGGGATCGTCGGGTGGAATCCCCAATCCCCACATTAGTAATATTTAATAAGTATAGAATCTCCATTATATGATCTCCAGCTTCATAAGCTTCACCACAAAATTAATGTTTCAGAATTCTTAGTTTTTTGATAAGATGTAATTTGATTTGAATTGTAAATTATATCAAGATATATTGCACTATTTGTTGGAAAAATTCCTGCACATTTATCGGTTGCACATTTATCGTTTGCACATTTATCGGGCTGCACATTTGTCAGGTTGCACATTTATCGTTTGCACAAATGTCTTTGCACATTTGTCGTTTGCAGATTTGTCTTTGCACATTTGTCACCCCATCGCTCTGTTAGTGTTTCGTTTCTTGTGGGTTTTGATATATTTCTTGCGTTGCAGAGCAAGAAACGCATGAAATGCAAGGTGCAAGAAACTGCAAGAAAGTGCATGAAAAAGGAGCCCTATAAACAACAACTAAATTAGTTCCTAGCATTTCTTGCAGGTCAAAATAGCTGCAAGAACCACTTTCTTGCAAATGGTTACTTGCGCCCGAAACACTGGTTCTCAATAAAAAAAAAACTTCACCAAATCGATGACAATTTTGTTACCACATCATACTTATCCAACCGTATAATGCAGTTTCAGAAATGAACACTGCATATTTGCGTCACCTAAACTTTCCCATGTCAAAAGTGTGTTTGCATTCTCCCATTTATTTTTCCGTTTCGTGTCCCCTCATCTCATCTTCGTTCATCATCACGAAACGGACGAAAGATGAGACGAATCTCGTACCCTTCCACTCCACGAGGAGAGTAATGAGATGATATTAAATTAGCGGAAGAATGAGAGAATCGATTTACTCTCGCGTATAATTTCCTTGCTGTTGCATTCAGTACCAGTTTGAACCGATTTTCGGGCCCTGTCCTGAGCTCGAAATGGAAACGAAACGGCGAGGGATCATGGAATATTATCTATGAGAGTGCTGTACAAGTTCATTACAATACCCAACTTACTTAATATAGAATTAAGCGACATATTTACGAACGTTGGTTGCATGCAATTTAGTGGCTGGATTTGCCCTCACAAAACTACTTTCGTTTTCTTGGGAAAGATGGAGAAGATTATGTAACGAGAAACGAGACAAAGTTGGGGACGATGTATTCACTTGTGTAATCTTGACAAGTTAGACATGACGATAATCTTGAGAAAATTAGTGCAAAATAATCATAACCAAGACAAACAAACTTCTCATTTCAGGGAGGATGGACATTGTGTCACGTTTACTAATTCGTGTCCCAGCTACGTGTAAAATATGTAGAGGGTGTGAAATAAAGAATGGCAAAGATTTTCGAATGAAGATATACGTGTAAAAATTGTAAGTCTCACCAGTAAAATTGGCAAATATGTATATAAAATTGTCTACGAGGAACGATAGGTTGGTACTTGAAATGGTTAAACAATCCCATGGTTTTTCAGCAAAATTTTCGCGAAATGTCACATATTCGCAAAACTTCACAAGTTACGTTGCTTTGCTCAATTTGCGAGATGTGCGAGATATGCGAAGGGTTGATGTGAGTACGCTCAATGTAATTATAAAATTCTGATAAAATTTACACCTACTTGAATAATTTAATTTGCCCTACAATTCCCAATTTTTGTTAATGGAATCAAGCTATTACATTTTTTAACATTAGTAAATTTAAAATTGAATTGTAGAAACTTAAAGTATGAAATTAATGTGTGTTTCGAAAAAAACGATTTTCAGCTCAAAAATGAGGTCAAAAAATTCGGAGCAACCCGCAAGCCTACATAAAATGCGAGTCCAGTCCAGTGCGGTATTGAGGTTTGCTCCGTATTTTGCCCTCTAATTTATGAACTATCCGAAGTACAGACTTCTGGTTTTCAGATTCTTGTAGACAATTTTATTTGTCAAGAAATCGCATTACTCTTAATGGTGAGATTTTTAATTTTCATATATATATTTGCATTTGAATAGGTTTGACATTCTTAATTTCACACCCTCTATTGTTGCAGGAACACTCAGCCAATTTAATTTAATTCCTTCTGCCAAGATAATAAATTATCAAGTTGGGGACACAATTTTGCTAGTTTTGGTGTACAAACACAAGGTAATGAGATGTTTGTGGTTGAGGAAGGGTAAACAGAGTGCAAATTGGTTTCCTTTCTCTTCCGAGGAAAGATTGAGGTAGACTTAAAAAACAAAGCGGCGAATAAACAGGTGTAACAAGGTAGCGGTATTGTTATGCATCGAACCACGTGACCTTTGCCAGAACGGGAGGCCAAATATCCAACGTTCTACATACTAGCACTCTTTAGACCTTGCAAATGATACCACATTTGATAAGGAAGGATTGGTATCAAAATTTTACTTGTGTGAAATTTTGAAGGTCATATGACCTATACCGCAATATTCTGGACAGTCCATTACTTTTTGTAGTTAGAATGTCCACATGGTGTACATTTTTCATGAGACGTGATAACAGACGGACGGACATACATAATTTTTTGCATAAAGTAGCCAATGAACAATGACTTACTCGTCGCCTTGGAGGAGACGGTGAGGAGCGTGGTGATGCCCAACGTGACACGACCTGGGACAGAGTTGACATCCATCCAGAATGACACCCAAGAGATCACCACCATCAGAATCGTGGGCAAGTAGGACTGCACCAGGTGAAAGCCGAGCGATCTAGAAAGGTGAAACTCCGCCACAAGACAGGAATAGTTACCTGGGGGAAATACATATTAAGAATACATGATTTTAAACTTGACTTGACTGATTAATGCTGCAAGAAATGTGCATAATTTTCCGAAATAAAGCTATTTTGTTAATCAGCATCACAGATTTTAATCCGTTTTTAGACATACAAAACTTTATAGAATCAGGGTATAGTTGTAAAATTTTACAGTTTTTTAAAAACTTAACGAGGACCAAATATACCACCAACATCTCAACTTGAATTTTTTGCTCGTTACTACGGATAGTGGAGCTGATGGAGGGGGTGATCTTATCTACCAAGTTAATTGTCATTTTTAAATGAAAAATTGCATCGGCTTTAAAATTTGCAAATTTCTAGTTTTATTTTTTCAAGTTGTCCAATTTTCTTGACACGGTTGGGAATTTTGTCTTCAATCAACACCGTTTTACAATTTCTTCCAAATTAGAGAGACCAGAAAAGTATTACAGGTCACAGTGTTCGCACGGGTTAAAAAATTTTATACTCGTATTAATATTTAATAATACAAATGATATAATAATTATTACAATTGCAATGTAATAATTATTATGCAAGTATTAGATACGTTACAATTTATTATTATTATTATGTTATGTAATTGGCTAAATATTTCTTTAGTAGTAGCTCAACAGTTTACCTGTTTGTTACACGACACGTTCTCTTTTCTTAAATATTTTACTAAATGGCGTGAAAATTTTCAATTACTCGAGAATAAAACTCTCTTAAAATCGTTATGCCGGTCTGTCTGTGATATTTCAAAATTTGGTAAAAATACAAATACAACTATGCCTGGCTTGGGTTGGATTAAAAAAAATATATAAAAATTCAATATTTTTCCTCACCAATTTGAAAATCCTCTTTACACTTTTCGGCCGCAATTTTGACCAATTCGAATTGTGACATGCCGAAATTCCTCGTCGTCACGGGGTCCTTCTTCTTCCACTCGAGGATTAATTCCTCCACGGTTTTCGAGACTGTAAATATACACATATACATACAAAAAGTACAAAAAACAGCAAATTAATACGGGCCAAGCAGTACACGACGAGGACGAGGAAGAAACAATGTAAATCCTTCATAAATTATGAGCCCTACTTTATTGCAACACTATACGTTCGAGACCTCGGCTGAGCATTTTAAATTTTAATACATTCAAAGAACGACCAAGTAACGAGTTGACTTTCACCATTTCATCGTCCTCGTCGTCTTCTTTAAACAAATCGAATTATCTCATTTGCTTCAGTTTACTTAATCTAATTCAACACTGCTCCTCAGCAGTCTTATTTCTCGAGAAGAAGGGAAAGTTTGCCTTTCTCCCACTACTTGAGCGAGAGACAATTTTATAATGTAGTCTTTTGTTCGGGGTACTTTTAACGCGTAGTTGCTTGTACGAGCACGCTAAATAATGTGGGGGCAAAATTGGGTAGGAACAAATTTTTTGCAAAATAAATAGTTATTTTATATGGTGATTAATTTATTTGTAATTTACATGTAATTAATGATCCTGTTATTGTATTAAATTAGCGAGTTATAATAAACTTGATACAACCTTAACTTGCGTGGATAACAATTTTTTTTAAATTTTTGTAAGTTTTTTCGAGTAGATTTTGTACATATTTATTTGTACACAAAAATAATATTTATTAGTTTAAGTAGTTTAACCCTGACGCCATTTGCTTATTTTGTATTAATGTTTTTTGCTACGTTAAATTTTTAAAGATCTGTTAACCCCAATGAAACTATTTAACCGAAAGAATTTCTATTTCACAGAAGAACACAATAATTTTAGACAAAATTCAAATATATTACCACCCGGGTGACAGGAACAAAGTGGAGGTAATAAATTTTATTTAAGTAAATTTTGCCGAAATTATTGTTACCGGGTTGTCTCCATTTGGTAACAATTCATAGTAGTGTGATAAGCTTGAGTTTTATGGACATTTATACAAAGCTACAGTTCGGTATAACAAATTATTACCAAATTGGTAAACGCGTATAATATTGCATACACAATTCTGTCCCCACATTTTTTACCGTGTAAATTTATCCTTTACCAAGTTGACTTTCACGTCATGGGTGGCTTTCTATATGCTAAAGTGAGCTAATGGCTTTTCCCTCTTTTCTCAAGATGAAACAAATACCTCGATGATCTCAGCGTCTCGACCTCGGATCCAATCACTCACAATTCTTCGCTCAAAAACTTATTCGGATTCATTTTCCTACTTTCAAAAGCTTTACAAATACGACATCCTCAAGACTGAAAGGATTTAGCATTGTTTTTCAAAAAATGAATATGCATAACTAATATTTGCCCTGGCAAGAAATGAAACCGCGTCTCCTCGTCTCCTTGAAAGGTAGCTCTCTTTTTCTTTACTCAGAGCAAATTGGGACGCGATTGAACCCTTTGAACTTTACTTCGGAAACTTTGAAAAATGAAAACTTTCGAGTGATCCGATAAATAAATGGAACAACAATTTCGATCCAACGATACTAGTGATCTCTTTATGGAGGAGAAAGTTAGGAGAGAAAATCCATGAAAAACTTGACTTTTCTTCCCTCCTGACATACATACCACACGATTTCAGTTTTGAAAACATTGTTTGTCAAAGAGATACAAGAAACTGATTAGGAGAGAAAAAGTTGGGGGGAAAGAAAGTGATGAGGTAAACTTACAGCTGGCCACCTGTAAAGCAAATAAGTAATGAAAGTAAGTAATAAGTCGGTAAGTATTTATGTAATAAGGAAAAGTGCTGTAAGTTCACCTCCATCGTGCATACTTGACGATCCAGAGGGCTATTTTTTGACGGTGGGGAAAGTTATGTAAAAATTATTGATAACAAATTATCTTAGTTAGATGGAAGTTTTATAACTTACAATTTGGATAAGTCCATCATACAAGAAAACGTTATTTTCAGGCTGGAATTAAATTAAATTAAATTAATTTTATACGTAAAATACAAATATTTGTTAACAAACTTGTTACCGAGATGGTAACAAAAGTATTAAGACTTTACTGCGGTGATGCTGATGATTTTTTACTCACAAAATTCTAATTTCTCACCAAACTGGAATCAATTTATTTCGGTAATAAATCATTACCAACGCGGTAAAGCCGTCCAGTGACATTTTTTATTCAATTATTAATTTTTATCACATACCGCAACATGTAAAGAATATCTCCGTCCGGATGAATTCTGACGAGGACATTTGGAACAGTGACGAACTGAAAGTCGGCTTCTTTACCGTTGGGAAAATACACTTCCGGCTTCCAAATCGCTTTCACCAAGTTGGGATCGTTCAGATCGAGCGGTTTCTTAAGATCGGGATGCTTCAGCCGTTCATCTCTCCACTTTTGTCGGAGGTACAAATCCACTTTGTAATCCTGTTGGGGTTTAGATAAGCATGTAAGCGTAAGCATTGTGGTGAGATTAAGTATTATGGTGGCACAATTTTTCGTCGGTGACTCGTGTCAGTGTTCCAGATTGTGCGTGAAATAGTAATTTCACCCACTTTTTGGTTTATTTAGTCGGTTTCGTGCATGGACTTTTTAAGGAATTATTCTTAACGCTTAAAAATTTTGTAACCTTTTGAACCCATTTAAAAAAATTATTAATATGTTACATCCTAATTTAAAATTAGATTTTAATTTCATCCAACAGATTGTGTATTTTAGTGTAAAATTTAAAAATGAACATTTATAAATATTTTTACTCCTGATGAAGAAATTTATACCAGTAAAAATTCAATATTGATTCAAACAAATCTGTTTTTCTTCCTATCAAGCAACTTAATTTTTAATTCGTAATCTTGACGCCATTTGTTAATTTTGTACCTTTTTCACAGAACAAAAACAATTCTAGATCATTAAAAAAGCTTCTCCTACTAATATTTTTCGATGTGCAATATTTTTTAAAAAAAAAGTAACTGCATTTCATTTTACTTTCTGCACAAAAAGTGTCCTTATTTCACACCAGAAACACTGCGGGATCTCTCGCCAACAGTTTGGAATAATGCGTCCCTTGGAGCTCATTTTGGCCACGGAAGAAATAACTGCACGGGCATCACAGCCACTAAACCTTATCGCCTTATAGTCACACCAAAAGACGAAAAAATTCAAATTTCTCCCCTTTCGAGCAAAGATCGTGGAGAAGATGGGCTTTATAATTCTTCCAAAAAAATTGTGGCTCGTTTTTTTCTTCTCGTCTCGGTGGAATTATGTAACGTTTTCGTTCAATGATTACTACATACTTTTTCGTAGGTAAGGAGTAAGAATTTCCCGGAAAGCAGTGGGGTTAACAACTGACAACGATACAGAGCGTAGAGGTCTTAGGTCGTCAAGTCTTTTGTCAGCTTAGCGTCATCGTATACACTTTGCGTAAGTCGACCCGGAAAGTGGTATAAAATTGAAAAAATGCAGAAATAAATTGTTTTGTTTCCAGGAAATGAATAATTTAAGGAAGTTTTCAGATGATTTTGTTAAGCAGTGTTTCACCGTTGGATGAAATTCAGTATAATGACTCAGGTTTACTTAAAATTCAATTAAAATTGGGAAAAAATGACGAAAAAGAGCCAAATTTCTTGAAAAATTTCTTGAAAATTGAAGTACGAAAAGATTAAATGAATGAATAAATACAAAATGTGTGCAACTACTACTCAAGTTTGCCTAAAATTCAATTATGTAAGATTGAAAAAATTACTGAAAGAGTAAAATTTAATCTTATTTCTATGTAGCAGTGGAAATTCTTCCAATACTTCTGGGCGAAGTAACAATAATTCTTTTCATTGAATAAAAAATACGTTTAAAATATGCTTAAAAGGACAGTGTTGCAATTAATTTAAATCTAGTATTTTTTACGATATGTTTGCGCTCTTGTGAGATGCATACGAACCTATTTTAACAATATAGATTTATTCATACACCGAAATGTACAAATGGCTTCAAAATGTGACATTTTTTTCAATTAGATTAACTCGTTCTTTAATTATTTTAAGACAGTTTTAGCCTTGGGTTTCCTATCATTTTATTCAAATTTTTTTGAACCCTACATTTCTCTTACTTACTACTATGCACATCTTTTCCCTATATTATTACCACCACTTTTATGCAAATAAATCCCGTCCAAGAATAAATCCGACTTACCATGGTAAGTGGGTTTGGCGACCCAAAGCTTCGGACAAACAGTTCACAGTCCACCTTCGTTGGGACACTGTTGTCTGGAAAGAAGGGTAAAAATAGCGCGTCAATACCTTTGTAAAATTGCTTCTATGTAGCAAATTTATTTTCCGTATTTCCCAACTTACTGAGATGATTGGTGGGTGTGGCTCTCCGATCATACCCTTTCTTGAGAAGTTCGTCTAAAATCTGCAAATCCCGCATCATCGTGGCCACCCTGAAAGTAGGAAAGTGAAAGTGAAAGTAAGATACTTTCTCTGTTGTGTAACAACAATAGCACTCAAAATAATGCGGTGACAAAAATGTAACCGAGTTCAGTCAGACACTGTATTTTAGGCTTTACCATATTGGTAACGATTTGTTTAGAAAAACATTGCCCATGAAATTCAATGTGTGGTATGAAATTAGTTTTAATTAACGCAAATAAGTAAATATGAATTTACATAAAAAATTATTGTAGAAATAATTGCAAACTTTCACCAAAGGTCTAATTTTATTAAGATTTTTAAAATTTTTGCGCTATTACTTATGGTTTTAGTTGCTTTACATAGTTGCTTTACCATATAAATTTTTTCTCATATAATTTTGTTTAAAATTTTCAAAAATTTTCTGAAAATTTCAAAACAAATTGAGTGCGTTTGGTATTTGATATGACAAAGCAACTCTCTGGGACCACAATGGCGCAAGATTTTCAAAATCTGAACAAAATTTGAATTTTGGTGAAAGTTTAAACCAGCGAACAGGTCCTTCTTTTAGTGTTTTTAACCCCTTTTCGTGGGTGTGGCAGGCGCAAATGGGGCCATGGGATCAAATCTCTTTACAGTTTCAGTAGACTCATGCAACATGTCCAAAGGGCATCAAACTCTGGGGGTGAAAGGTAGCGGTCGCCTCCTCCTAAGCTGAGCCGGATTTAAAATTCAATCACACTTTCCATTCCGGACAAATTGCTCACTCATGGAGAGAACCAGGTGGAGAAAGTCAACGTATCGAAAAACTTGTACGTTTTGTACACAGTTTCTTCCTCATTTTATTCGATTTATAGGATTTTCTAGAATATTTCACCTTTCCTCCCAAAACAGAATTTACACCACGCAGAGTATGCAGTGGATTGAAACTTGTGTAACAATAAAAAGTTGGCAGCAACATACGTGGGTGTTTTATTATTGATTTTCAAAATGTATGTTCCGCACTGTTTCTGGCCAAACTTTTGATGAAATAACAAACTTCAAATACATTTAGGATGCTGTGATTTTTTTCAGCTCTGTAAGTTATCATTAACGCTAGCAACAACTCATCAAAATTTACCTCGAAAATATGCCAAAATTTACGACTTGATTTCATTATCATCCGAATACCGTTTATCCCTGATGTCTTTCTTTAAGTTTCGATACGAATAATAATCACTAAGGGTCAAGTCTGGACTGCACGGGGTGTGGTTTGTGCAGGTAAAGAGATTTTCGTCTGCAGCAGCCCTCTAAAACAGCCAGGTATTTGGTGGTGCGTTGTCGTCTAAAAAAAGGCCAACTCTTTATTTTGACCCCACGTTTCTTTTCAACCGCAGGACGCAGCACCATCGGGGTTCCTGCACACACAGCCCCATTTATTGTAGTATTTCCAGCAATAAATTTTATAAGGAGGAGACCTTTGGTATCCTTGAAAATGGTCATCATCAATTTTTTGTCAGATTTTTGCACTTTTCAATTCACGGGCGGTGGCAACCCCTCGTGCTACGACTGAATGAGTTATTATTTGGTCACCGGGTCATAATAGTATACCCAAGTACCATATCCAGCTAATAAAATATTGAGTAGATTCAAGTCTTTATTTAATAGGCTAAAATTGGCATTGCAAAAGTCGACTCGGTCCTGTTTGTGAGATGCCGAAAGCAATTTTGGTACCCAAAGGACGGAAACCATTTTTATACCGAAGTCTTCAGTTAACATGGAACAAATTGTTGTTTTTGGAACACCCATCTCATCTGCTAAATAGGACAGTTTCAATCACGGATTTCTCATTATTGGTTCCTCTAGTTTCCGGAGCCTTTCTGTGGAAGAAACGGATTTTGAGCGTCCTGGCGACTTTTTGTCCGAGATCTCTTTTCGCCATCATTTAAAATTATTGGCACAATTGAATTTGTGTTTTGTGTTGGGCAGTTTTCATCGTAAATTTTAAGCATTCGATCATAAATCTGCGACACGTATTACCCATCCAGCATTAAAAATTAAATCACACTACGATATTTAATTTGCAAATCTGACATTTTTTCCGCCGAGGTAAAGTTTGCCGATTTATTGCCAGCGTTTATGTTAACCCACAGGGATGAAAAAAATCACAGCCTCCTAAATGTATTCGAAGTTTATTATTTCATCAAAACTTTGGTCAGAAACAGTGCGGAACATACCTTTTGAAAATCAATAATAAAACACCTACGTATTTACTACGCAAATAAATAAAAAATTCCAACAACAAGTGGAAATACATTTAAATTTCTGCGTTCAAAATTCCCAATTCTCAATTCATTCTGAACTTCAGAATCTGAAATCGAGCCTGAAACGGAAATGGAAACGGTAGATTTCTACTAAATTCAATTATTATACTTGAGTAAGATCCGAGCCAAAATTGGAATCGGGTCAAATGCGTAGCGTTGCGAGGTGATATGAATCGTCAGGAATTGAATTAAGATGTGAAAGTGAAATGACTGGATTCATTTCGTTGTAAATTTTCCATCTAAACCTTCCCATCGAGGTGACGATAGCGATTTATCTATGTAGTATACGCGTCAAACTAATCTACTTATCTGATCGGCGTGAATGGGAGGGGGAGGTGAAAATTGGGATTGATTTCATCAAAATCGTGTTTGCCATACATACCATTTTTTGGGGTGAACGTAGGCACGTGGAAGGAGGTACGGATATTTTTATCAATCATTGTAAATGTAAATGTAGTATATCAGAAGGGAACAAGGGAATTTAGCATTATAAAAAAATAAATTTCAGAAAAATATATCATAAAAATATTAAAATTTACAAAATTTAAAATTTATTCAGGGAAAAAAAGTTGAATAAATGTAGCAACGTGGAGTCGTAAATAATTATTACGTAAATTTAATTTTTTAGGAAGTATAGAACAATTTTGTATAAAACAATTTTGTGGCCGAAAAAATAGGTGGAAAGTGTGTCCTCTTCCGACAAGGCCCGGAAGAAATGATCTTTATGTAGCTCTGTTGGCATCATTTTGTTAAAAATAATCATGATATGATCTGCCAATGATGTAGGTCAATTATGTGCATAGCATCAAATATTAGACCACCAACTATTATGGGTGGATTTGCATCAGTTTATTAACCTGCTAGGTTATGCATGCATTATGAATGCATTAATTGTACTTGCTTATATACGACATGACTTGATCTTAAATAAAGTAGTCGCTAAATGTACTCGTTGAGCAGATGAGCTAAACCCTTATTTTGAACACGTTATCAGCACGGCTCTAGTTACTGCTCAACTTAATCTGAAAAGATTAAAATGTGAAAAGTTCTACTATATAAAAAAGTGAAACTGAGACCAAGATCTGAAAAAGACTTGTGACTAATTCAACATTGTTAAGTTGTTCTAATAGTAAGTCAGAAAATGACTTCGACTACAAAAATTTCCATGAGGAGATTTGATACTTCATCTATCTCCAAGTTAAACGGAGAAAATTACACGGTTTGGAGGATAAGGTTAGTGTGTTTCTTTAAAACTCATCAATTAATGGAAATTGTTGACGGGACACAATTACGCCCAGCCGCATCAGGACCTGACCAAGAAAATTGGGACGAAGGCAACAACGAAGCCTTAACGGTCATGTTATTTACTATGACAGATGAACAAGTAGAAGGGGTATTTGGTTGCAAAACTGCACCAGAAATGTGGGATAAATTGAGTTCCATATATCAAAGCACAAGCGGAGAAAATAAACAAGCCTTGTGGCAAAAGTTTTACTTGATTATGGCTGATGAAAAATCGCCAGTTAAAACCATGATTCAGATACAGAATATTGCTTCACAGCTCAGAAGCTTAGGAATAGTAATTGATGACGTGGCTGAAGTGGCCAGAGTAATCTCAAGCTTAGCGGGAGATAAATACAGACAATTCAGGGAAGCCTGGAGATCGGTGGACATAAGTAAACAAAGTACTGGTCTACTTTTATCACGACTAAAAACTTTGGAGCTTGAAGACGAAGAGTCAGATAAAAGCAAAGCTAATCAGTCGTATTTTGAAGATGAAAGTGAGAGAGCTTTTAGTGTCAAGAAACCGTTCAGTAATTGTGCAATTGGATCTACCCAAAATGTTTGGATTAATGACTCTGGTGCTGATCGACATTACTGTGGTCGACTAGATTGGTTTTATGAGTATGAAAAATATTCGCAACCAATATCTGTCAGTCTGGCAGATAATTCCTATATGTCTGTAAAAGGCACGGGAAAGGTGAGAGTGAATGCACTCGTTAACAAGAAGTGGAAAGAAATTGAAATTCACAATGTTAAATATGTGCCTGGAGGTGCCAACCTGCTCTCTGAAAATGTTTTACTTGACAAAGGATTTGAAGTCAAAAAGAAAGGAAATGATACAATCGTTTATTACCGAAATGGTAAGCGAGACATTGAAGCTGAAAGAAGAGATGGGCTTCAAGTTATGAAATTTAAGCCGATAATCAACAGGGAAATGATTTGCATGATGGCTCACCATAACTCTGAGTTTTTAAACAAAGCTGCAGATACGAAAGATGTATATGGACCAGAAGCAATGAAAAGTACCAAGTTCAAGGTTGATGAATGCATGAAATTCAATTCTGAGATCGTAGTTGAAAAAACTGTGATATTCGGAACCGGAGAATTAACAAAAATCTCAGAAATTGAGGATTTGAATTGTTTTGTTGTGACTAATGAAACGCCCTCATTCTGTAAACCAGTAATGAATGTGAAAGATGAAATTATTGCCACCAACATTACAGAAAACAATGTTAAAATACCGAGATATAAGAATGGAAAAGATTATCAGAGTCAAAGGTTAATCTCATTTGCCCCGGAGAAAGAAAATATGTTTTGGCTGAATGAATTGCATACGAGTCATCGAGCTTTGAAATATGCAATAAACACTGATATTCTGCACAGACCTCATCGTACGAAAAGTACTGAGGAAGCCCCACCTGAACAAACAGTTATACCTGTCACAC